GATATCGAAGGTTCAGAAGTTTAAAAAAATCATTGATCACCGAAGCTTCAGGAAATCAAATTTTCAAAGGTGGAACTTAAAAACACAGTTTATTTTATTTGTTTGTAAGGGAGAGCCAGAGAGATACTTTATAAGCTCATATTCATGATTAATATTCATATTTTATCAGTAAATAGTTGTTATAATCATAAACTCAAAAAAGAAAGACATATTTGTAAATTTTAACAGGGTTCCCACGCTCCTTAAAAGTCCTTAAAAACTGCTTAGTTTTTATTTTGAAAATTAAGGGCCCTTAAAAGTACTTAATTTTGATTCACGGTCCTTAAAAGTCCTTAATACCTAGTATCACTAGTTGGTTGGAACAATTTTTTTATCTTGGGAAAATATCCACAATTTTTTTAAAAGTGATACAATTTAATATTTTATATATTTTGTATTTAAGTAATTTATATTTTGTCATAAAAAGTAATTTTTTTTAAAAAATATATTTAATTCACGTTGCACCCCAGAGCCCAAGGTTAAGAAAACTAAGATGGGCATAGTAGGCCTTGGCCCTCTATGGGCTGTCGCGCCATTGAGTTTAGTTTTTTAAGTATAATAATTTGATTAGCTTTTAAACCAATAAATCTTCAGTCGCTTTTAGTTTAAAAAAATTAGAACAAAGCCTACATTTAATTAATTTGCTTTTATTTTTGAGGAAATTGAAACAGAGTTTGTGTTCTTTCTTTCTTTTTTTTTTTTTTTTTTAATTTGGTTGTTAGTTAAAATGACTAAATTTTTTTAAAATAAATAAAAAGTTAAGCAATGTTTTAACGCTTTTCAATAATTTAACAATAGTGCTCTTAAATATAGAATATATATCTATATTTTTTTAAAAATCCCTTCAATACATGTTCGTTTAATAATTTGTCAGATAGTGAGTATTATTTTTAAACATTTAAATCTTTAGTCTATTTCATTTTCAGAAAGGAAAATAATAATAAATAAATAAAAAAACTTACATTAAAACCATTTGACCATTAGTCAATACAACTTTATTATTTTAAATAAGTAATTAACAAAAGCCTAACAATGTTTCAAAAGCACATTTTTTTTTCCAACAAATAATTTAAAAAATGTTTTATTTAAGTGGACATTTTCTTTTTTTTTTAATTTGTAATGTATGTAAAATATTTTGTAACAGTTTTATTATTATTTTTAAAAAATCTAAGTCGTTTTTAATTTAAAAAATTTAAAATAAAGCTTGTGTTTGTTTTTACTTTAAAACAAGTCAATCCTTAAGACAGTCTTAAGTCAATCCATCTTTATTTTAATTGAAAAAATTAAGCAATGCTATTGATGTTATAGAATCAATTTTTTTTAGAATTAACATTTTCTTTTGTTATAAATTTATTATTGATTGATTTAAAGATCTCTGATTGATAAATTTTAAACATATGTTAAATTGCGATACATCGCGATGTCTGACTGACGATCTATCATGATATAAAATTTCTTACAATGCCCAGGCCTATTTTTACATAAACAATAAAAATTCTTGAGGATTTTCTTTTTTTAAATGTTGTTTGATCACTGGGTAGGCGGCCGTTTTATTTGGCCAGATATTTGACTATTCGACCAAATCACTATTCATTATTCCCTATTTTATAATAAGTAATATATATATATATAATCCATATTTGCATCCAATTTTCATTACCTTTGATTTATTTGACAAATTATTGTTTTATAATTTCAGACAATACTTTAATTATTACAAAAAAAATTTTTTTTTATCGTTGATTATTTTAGTTCCTTCAATATCTATACAAGACACAATACTTTTTAATTGAATAAATTCTAATTCCTCAGAGGTGCAGTATTGCTTATCAGTGTAAGCATACAATTTTTTATAACTAAAAGCAGACTATTTTATAAAGATTTTTATCTCCTTTTATAAATGTTTCTGATTCCACTACGTTTTTTTTTTCTCTTCATTCACAATAAATTTTGTACTGAATTATTTCATTACATTTTCAATTTTTAGATATGGAATTTTTTCATTTTTATTTCAATTGATGACCTGCCTTGTCCTGTGTTTCAATATTTATGTTATCTCTTATTTTAACAATCATTTCTGTTTCTCAGTTCTTAATTGATAAGCTTTCCTTGTACTTTATTTATTTCTTTTTTCCTGTTTGTTAGGTACTAAATATATTCTGATTTTAATCATAAACTTTTTTATATTTTGTGATTTTAATAAATCTTTAGCTTATTATAATTAGGTTTTACTTAGTTTAAAATAATTAAAGTTATATTTGTTTGTTTATTTTTGCCTTGGTTTAGTATTAGTCACTCAAAATAATATTTTTATTAATTTAATGAATTTACCATCTTAATTTATATATTTCTATCTGTTTACTTAGTTTTTTTCTATTTTTAAAATAGAAAATCTTGTTTAATCTGTATTCTTTGAGTTTTTCTTTATATTCTTAAAAGCTTGCGTGAGGTGATTAAATGCAATTTAATTTTAATTAAACACAGATTATTTGTATTAAACATTTCTTTATTTAGTTTTTTTTAAAAGGATGACCGAGTTGAAGAAAAGCTATTCCATTTTTTAATCTATTATTATTAATCTATAATGTTTTATTTGATGATAAATTATTGATAATTATGCAATTTTTAAGGTCCTTAATTTCTGGAAAAAAAGTCCTTAATTTTTTTGATAAAAGTCCTTAATTTTTGCTTTGATAAAAGAGTGGGAACCCTGTTTAATTACTTCTCCAGGTCCATAGGTATGTGTAAAATTTTAAATATATTTTAAGTAAACTAAGAAATATTGAGAAAAAGGAAGAAANTTATTGTTATTATTGTCATTAATAGCTAGCCTGGAACTTTAATGATTTTCTTTTTTTCTCTCTCTTGTTCTCTTTTTTTTTTTTTTTTTTTTTTTAATTTCCCAGAATTTTGACTTGGGTTCACAATTACCCCTGATTGAATGAAGTAATATGTCTTTCAATGGATAATCCTAATATTAACAAAAGTGTGATGAAGTAATTTTCTGAAGAAATTGGTCCAAATATATTATTGTTAATTGGCACCTGCAATTTTCATGTGACAAATAATGCGTTTAAAGTTTTTTTTAATTTTTTTAGAAATAAACTTTGATGAGTTCGCCAATGATATATATATTTTCTAACGAACAGTGCTGTACGCGGGGAAGATTTTAAACATATGGAAGAAATGACTGCTCAGTTTTTATTGATTATATTAATAGTGGATGGCTTACAGTCGAAACTGTTGCTCAGCAGCTAGTTGAGCAATGGGCAAATGTCTCAGAATATTTCTTAAATTTTTTACCTTAAGCAACTAAGTACTTGGAGCGAATATAAATGTATCTGTGAGAATTTAAAAGAGCCTTCTCTTTATGTTTTCAAAGCAAATCACTGAAAAAATACATTTGCTGTTTAGTTGAATGAATAAGCTGATCAGACAAGTTATGATGCAATTCATAAAAGATTACATTGTTGCAACTAGGAAGACACATATTTAAGGGACATTCAAATTAATAATGGTAAAAATTGGAAGAAATAATCTTCACTCTAAATAAGTTATGTCCGCAAAAGGTTTTTTTAATTAAATTAGCACTAAGTGAAAGGAATAATTTTCTCCTGAATGCTCGTTTTGCATTGAATAAAGCAGTTAATTATTTGAAATCAAATTTACCCTTTTTTGATAGGTTTTTTAAAAACTTAGAAATTTTTCAACCAAGAATTTCCAATGATAACTCAGAAGGTTTCCATGCAATTACAAGAATATCTCGTTATTTAAACTTTTCCAATGAATTTATTGATAATGTCAGGGAAGAATGGAAACTTCTTATTTTTTACGTTACTGCCCGTGAAAAATTATCGGATTTATTTGAAATAAAGCGAGTAGATGGATATTGGAGAGAATTGTTTCTTTTGAAAGACAAAAGCAATAATCTAAAATATGAAAATTTAATTACATTTATCAAAACTGTTTTAATTTTGCCACATGGGAATTCTGATCCTGAGAGAGGTTTTTCGATAAATAAAGCTATGCTTCATGTTAGTCACCACGAAATGCGAGTCAAACCATTCAAAATTATAGAGGAGTGTTGAAGGTGCCTAAAAAAACAACACTATTGAGGGTAGTGAAGGAATCTCATCAGATCATTTCAAGAATAAATTAGCAAATTGAAATAAGAGGAAGATAAGCATAAAAAAGGAAATGAAAAAATTGCAAAGGAAACACTAGAAAGGAAAGAAAAAAGAAAAAGTGATTTCAATTTGCAGATTGGCAAAAATAATCAATGAATCGAAATAAAATAAAGAATTAACTTTAGGTCTCATAAAGGAAGAAACAGAAAGGTTGAAAAAAGCTACAGCAACGCAAAACATTGTGGAGATGACTGTTGCACAAAATTTGATATCTGAAGGAACTAATCAGCTAACAAAATTAGAATCAGAGTAGACTGTTTTCGCAACTGGAAGATACCAACTTTTGACAAAGAGACTCAAAATTAATTGATCCTTCTAATTTGTTTTTCTGTAACTTCTAATATAAATTGCTGATTTGAAATCTAATAATATCAAACAATGGTTTTTTTATGGTTGTCATATATCATGTACAATTTAATACTAATTGATGGTACAATTAGTTATTAAATTTTAAAACAAGTCATAGAGAAGATATATAAATAGAAGTAAAATTACTAAATATATGTATCTTTCTTAAGTTATAACTAAGTTGTTTTAATAAATTAGTTATAATTATTTTCTTGAATTATAACTGGATTATTTAATACTATAATTTCGTTAAACTGTAATAAAAATTGAAGTTTAAATTATAACTAATGTTGTTTACTTTGTAATAATTATAACTACATGTTTTAGAGAATATGCACTGTTGCGCGAAGTTCTTTTTAATTTGTTTATTTATTTTACTGACGAAACACTGAGATGCATATAAACGCTTAACTTCATTATTTTTAGATGGTTGCAAATATTGTAGAAGAAGGTATAGAAGACAAAGAGATGGTTCATACAGGTGCGAGAGATAAGGTTTTGTTGAAAATCGATGAAATCTTAAGAAAACCAAAGTAAGTATTTATTAAACATTATAGTTTTTGTTGTTTTCTTTGAAACTATTTTTATCTATATAAGAAAAAAACTGTTATTTCTAAGTCTATTAGACGTGATCACTAAAATTCCTAAATTTATTTATTAATTCTAAAAATCTTTATCATCTTTTGCTATCAAATTATATTTAAATGCAAAAAAAGTCAGAATTCTCCTTTTTTTTTTGACACTATAACTTGTAGCCTTGGTTTGCTTAAAAATAATTATAAATTTTTATTGTAGTTAAATCTTATGCTACATCATCTATCCATCTCTTTTTACTCCCTCTGAATGTTGGTTTCATTTTCTTAACTCCCATTTTCATCCATCTCTTTATATGCCAAGTGTCTTAATTGTATAAATTGAATAATGTTTTTTAGTTTAATTAAACTGTCAGGTTCAAATTTGTTTTTAGTCCTCCTGTTCAAATTGTTTATTCGAATTGGTATTTAAAAAAAATTTTAAATATGAATTAGTTATTTTCATTAAATAGTAAAACCTTTGTTAATGACCGCCTCTAAAACTTTTCTGTTACAACTTCGGAAGAACGAATAGTATTGTGTTTATTCTTGAATATTAATTTTCATTTTATATTTTATTGTATTGTAACCTTTTTGAGACTAAAACAAATTTATGAATTTGTTCTAAAATATATTTTCAGAAGCTAAATTTGTTTTATATATTTGTATAAATTTTTTTTTCCAGATCTCAAAGGAAATTTTTAGACATACTTGTGGAAAATTTTATTACATTGTATGATGTCCAAGCAATGATCACTGAAGGTAATTTTTTCAATAATAAAATTTTTCAAAGCAACATAATATTTAGTTTCTTCTCTTAAAAAAATCACTCATTACATTTACACTTATTTTTCATTTGATTGTTCTTTATAAATCTCTTCTAGTTTTAATACTAAAGTTGCCAATTTTTAATTTATAACCAGAAGATAGCTTAAAAACTTTCAAGAGATCCTATAGCACTTTCTTTTTCTTTTCTAATTCTTTTATCTATTTTACATCCTGCATCATGTAACTCTGAAATTAATCCTGTTATGATTTGTGTAATTTATTTAGTTATTACAAAACTGAATCGAATAAACCCAGAAAACAAGAAAGATGGATGTAAACGAATTAAGTTTTGTCTTCGGCAGACGATTCTTCCATTATTCATCCAAAATTAATATTCTGCGTTCAACAGTATAAGCTAAATACCAAATATTTGTATGTTGCATCTCTAATTTAGAAGCAGCAGTTGTTTATTTTTTAAAATTTAATTTTTTTAATTATAATTTTTTTAATTATTATTTATTAGTTGAGCATAATCTTGTATGTCTTTACAACTTAAAAACTCCTTGAAAAAGTTTTTTTTTTTTTTTGCAATAATGGACCCTATTTGCACAAATTCATAAAAGCGGACCCTGGTTGAAAGAATGTGAGTAATTTTTTCACGAAAAGCGGACCTTTTACAAAATGTCTGGACAGACTCCTGCTTTTTGTCTTCTAATTTTTAATCTATTTTTACTTTCGATTAGGATTTTATTATTTATTACTCGTAGATTAATCCTGTTGGGTTTCATGTAACTTGTTAAACTATTACAAAACAACATAATATAACCTATGATGCATGGGATAAATGTACTTTGATCAGTGAACTTATTATTATTCAAAAAAATCAAAGAATTTTTATATATTGCTCTTCCTTTTTGTCTTCTAATTTTTAATCTATTTTTACTTCCTGTTAGGATTCATGTAACACGTAAATTATTTCTCTTAAATTAATCCTGCTATGATTCATGTAACTTGTTAAATTATTACAAATCAAGTTAATATATCCTGTGATGCATAGGATAAATGTACTTTGATCAGTGAGCTTATTATTATTCAAAAAAGAATTTTTATGTGTAGCTCTTCTTTTTTCATTTCTAATTTTTAAGCTATTTTTACTTCCTATTAGGATTTTATTAATTCTTACAAAACAAGATAATATATCCTATATTGCATCGGATTAATGTACTTTGATCAGTGAGCTTATTATTATTCAAAAAAGAATCAAAGAATGTTTATTTATAGCTCTTTTTTTTTATTTTCTAATTTTCAATCTATTTTTACTTCATATTAGGATTTTAATAATTATTTCTCGTAGATTAATCCTGTTAGGATTCATGTAACTTGTTAAATTATTACAAAACACGATAATATATTGTATGATGCATGGAATAAATGTTCTTTAACCAGTGAGTTTATTATTATTCAAAAAAGAATTAAAAAATTTATTTGACACTTACTTGGCATTATTTCCATTTTATAATAATATGCTTTTTATTTAATTATCAAAAGTCGGTAATCTGCTTAATAATCTGCCTATTTGGTTTGTGAGAAAATTTGTTCAGATTTGAAAATGTTAAAATAAATGCTCTAGAACTTTAAAATTATATTGAACAACCAAAATAATACTTTAATTACCTATTTATTTATTAAAACAAAATAAGATACATTCAAAGCAATCAAGGCTTCAAAATATATGTTCAAACATTTTTCCATTTTAATTTTTTAAATTTCAATTATCAGTTTTTATTTTTAAAAAAAAAAATATGTGGTGCAATTAATTTACAGAAATGTTTATATTTTTCTACTAAAAATAGTTAAAGCACTTTAATAGAATTTCTGAATTAAATTTAATTTTTATTTAAAGTACCTGCATAAGTCGAATTATCTCTGAATTTTTCGCCTTTCCTGTTAGATTAGAGAAAAACAGGTCTGACTGTATATAGATTATTTAAAATCAAACATTTGACATAAATTCTTTTAAAATGCTCTGTTGTAAATTTGTTGAATAATCATTTGTGTGAACAATTTTTTATTTATTTATTAATTTATTTATTTTTTATTTATTTATTTTTTTTTTTTGCTATAAAATTACTACAGCTATGTATTTTATTTCAGATGAAATATTCATGGATGATAATATATCGCCATCTAGTATGATGTTGCCAGCAACTCTCCAGCACTTTTACAACCCCCTGATCAAACTTTTGCATAAACATAATTTGATTTCAACCTTTTTAGAGTTGTTACTACTTAGTCAAGAAAAGCGTGAATACGTAGTATTGCAAAAAATTGTTGACTATGCAGTGTTGTATATCTTCCATCTTACAAAGGCCTCAGGCAGTAGTTATTCCTTTTCTACTTTATAATGCAGTAGACTCTTGATACACTGGGATCAGATTTTCCCTGTCACAAATTATTCAAGACGACCCCCCCCCAAAAAAAAATGCATATTGCAGCTGTTAAAATAAGCTGGAAAACTGCATTCTACTTAACCCTTTCTTCCTATTTAATTGGGCTCTTGCAGTCAACCAGTTTTGCTTCCATTATGGAAGTCTGGCTTGACAAGACAGGGTGAGATATAATTCAATCCACATCACAGTATAAGTGTTATTCAGATTAAATTTTTCCAGATGCTTTACATGTCAAGATGCAAAAAAGTTGTTTTTAGTATAAATCAAAAGCTGGCAGTCAGAAAATGGACAAACAGTTAAATCATTATAGCCTGTGTGTGAAATTGGTGATCAAACTGTGCGTGACATAAGTCATAAAAAAATATTTCTTTTCAATTAATTTAGTTAATAATGTTTTATTGTATATTAATTTTACATTTTCGTTAATTTTTTCATCAAAATTTTTATTAATTGGATTATTTAGGATATTTGCTTATCCAGGACGAAGCATTTTCCAAACATCCCAGTTAATGAAGAGTCTATTGTATATATATTTTGCTGGAATTTTTATTTCATTAACTAGGACATAAAGTTTTATGAAACAACATTTTTCACTGGAAGAGTATTTACTTTTCCGGTGGATATTGTTGCTAAGAGACAACCAAATACAGTCTAATGTTGATCAAAATTTAAGAAAAAGTTCAGGCTATCCAAAAAGTCAAATTGTGTACATTCTCTAGAACTGGAGGTATGAAAAAAACACTCTGAATTCAATATATTAACACATGAATTTTATTTAAGGTCTACTAAAGAAAATTTTTTTGATAAATCAATTGTTTTTCTGGCAGTTACTTTCTTGGTTCTTTCAATGTAAGGGCAAGTTTATGTAACAGTTGAACTTAACTTTCAGTTGGTATTACTTTAAAGAAAACCTTGGTAAACTCTTATTATTGTTATTTTTATAGCGATACAATAGCTATAATTATAATTTCTTCTTAAAATTATCTTCTTTTAATGTTGTCTAGATTCATTAAACATAAGAATTTTAACTAGGTTTAAAACTTTTAACATTTTTCTTTTAATGGTTAACAACTCTGAATATTAATAACCTTTAAACATCTTGAATTCAGAGAAATCGCTGACTTTTTACTGCAAAATGAGCAACCATTACTTTAATGTTGATTTCTTTAACTGTTCTTTTGTCCATTTAATATTTGAATTTTAAATTTTATAGACATATATTATTAAGTAAATTGATTCTATAATGTATTTAATTTTTAGGAGTATCCAAGCAAACAGCTATGCCATTTGTTTGCAAAGGTGCTAATCTCAATAAGTACAGATTGCTTTATTCCTGTGTAAAAGGATGTAGTACTACTGTAAGAGTTGTTTTTGAATGGTATGTATTTTGTTAAGTTCATAAGTGCTGAACTATATTTTTTTATTACAATCATAATTAATCTTTTAGAGATTTCGTCTATCTCTGCATAATACAATTGCTTAAAATGTGAAAACCATTGCATGCTGCAAAAATGTTTTATCTTTAATAAAAAGTACTATTATTTTCTCATAACTTTTCTGTCTACACATTTGAATGCATAAGGCTAAGAAAAAGATCCTTGACAAGAATTTATAACAATCAATATTTAAAATATGGATTCCTTACTATTTCTGTCAAATTTGTTAGAAAGGAGCCAAAAAAATTTTGATACTTTCGAAAAATTATTCATTTAAGCAAGCAAAAATAGAAATAAAAAATTAAATGCATTTCAAGATGTCTTACATTTATGCAACATTTTACACATAAATAAGTTGAAAATTCTTTCTCCTATAGATAATAACCATGTAGCCATCTTGGCACAGATTCAGCAAGAGACTTGAGAGTCTTGAAAACTGTTTTTGTCCCATATTTTTGCCAAATTTTCAATTGTATCTTTAACTCTCTTCTTTCCTACTTTTTTAAAGTTTATTCCCCTCAAACTCTCTGTCAGACTTAAATAAAATGAACAACTTTGATTAAAAAACTTTCTGCACGCATTCATTAACTCTTGTAACTAGTTTCAACCATCTCAGTTTGGCAAAATTTGTATAAAAATCAAGGATTTTTAAAAAAATTTTATTTTTTTATAGAACTTTATATTGATTCTTACCATTGGAATTAAGTTTGGTAAAAAAAACTGCTGAAAATAGAAATCCAATACTTTATAATAATAAAAATTATATATTTTTTTTATTGTGTGAATATGAATCTTAATGCATTATTTTTAAGTCACACGAATACAAATCTCAACATTTAATCTTAAAATTGGTGAATATGAATTGTGCTGTTTGATTTTGAGTTTGTTTATTTATGAATCTCGATGTTTCTTTTTAAAATCACATTAATACAAAACATGATATTTGATGTAAAATTGAGAAAATAGAAAACATGGTGTGCAATCTTAAATCATGTAAATGTATTAAGTCTTTTCCTAACTCACTATATTGTGAAATCGAAGTTCAAGGTTGTTACCTTTCTAGAAGAGAAACGTACCTTTCGGTATAAATCTTTAAATATTTACTTTACGGAGAATGATGTATACAACTAAATTTTTTACTGTTTCTTTATTTTAATGATATGCACTATCCGAATATTTCGAACCGGTTCTTGATGCAACCGTATTATGTATAAATACCTCGAATGTTGCATTATCGTTGCTAATGTTCATATTATTGTTTATTACGCCAAGCTGAGATATGCTAGCTTGTTCACTTTTTCTAAGTTGTTGTAAAGCATCCTATGGAACTTTGTGCTTTGGCACGATCTTCATCACTGTGCTTAAATAACTCTGCATTCAGTTGAAGACATATATTGATCTGCTCTCTGCACTACTGAGATCAGGAAATGAAACAGGCCATTTTAAAATATTTATTTCATTATCATCAAGTGTTTTTGCGGTTTGTTTTGAAGCATTGTTTTGTTGTAACAGAAAAGCGTCTTGGTAAAGTGTTTCTATAGTGGGAAGAAAGTTTTGCTAATTGTTCAGAACACCAATGATCATTTTTTCATGCTAAGAATATTCTGCACTTATCATTTGCTGAAAAAATGAGAGGTTCTCCAGAAATTAAATAGAAAAAATCTTTCTTATAGTACTAAAGGTAATTCCAATCTTTACAATATGTGAAGACGGAGAAAAATAGTTTGTTCAATTTCATTGGTTATATCTGCGGTATTAATATACTTGTAATATTAGTAATTTTTTAGACTTCTTAGTTTGAGAAATTATTTCATAAGTTGAAATATTTATACAACTTATTACTTATGTTTGTTTTATGATTTGACAAATGTGGCATCCAAATTCAGAATATCTTAGAGAAAGCTGCTCATTAGCATAAAAATGAAAATACATTCAGGCAGAAATCATTTTAAGTTTAAAATGTTTCAAAATTCTAAAAATTTATGTTTCATTCACAATATCGCCATTGTAATGGGTAATGGTTATTTATGTAAATTGAAAATTTGAAACTTTCATGAATTCAATAATAATGCTATATATGTTTGACACAAACTTGAGTTTTTTTAGTAAAACAGTGATTTGTTATTTTATTTATTCTTTACATATAAAAGAAAGAATCTATACTTAATACATATAGGCTAGTGGATGAGCTGGAGCTGATGCATTTTGTACCAGAACTAACTGCAATGATAAATATAAAGTTGGGAACTTCAATTCGCACAGAGTCTGGAACAATGAGAGAGAACAGAAGAAAGCGAAAATTTGATGAATTTACATTTACTGTTGAAGACTTAGAAGAAGATGTTCTAGAAGGTAAGAACCGTAAATAAATCTTGGTATTTTCATCAATTAATAATGTTATATTTCTTCAAAATAAGAATAAAAAATTCAGTATTGGATTTTAAAATATTAATTGAAGGTTTTCAAAAAGGTTCTTGTTACTTTTTTAAAAAAATTAAAAGTGGTATTTAAATGTAATACATACTGGTACAAGTTTTAAAATTTTTTCAGATATATACTTTGTCAAGACTCAAAGAAAAATTCTTCTTTAATGTATCACTTTCACAGAATTTCATTAAATTTTTCGTTTGATTCACTTATGAAGCAAACTGTAAACCCTAGTGTAAAACTTATTATTTTCTTTGGAAAATTTTCCTTTGATAATTTATCTACAAAATACATGAATTGCCGCATTTTATTATTCATAAATATTGCTTACATTTTTTTTTAATCTATAGTCTGCTGTATAAATCCTAATGCCAGGAGTATCTGATCAAAATTTATGGATTTGTATTGTGATATATATATATATCTTATATATAAAAATCTCTGGTCACAGTTTCAGTGTTTATGCTCCTCCGAAACGGTTTGACCGATTTTGATGAAATTTTCTATGTATATTCAGTAGGTCTGAGAATAGGTTTATAACTAATTTATTCTTCATTTCTTGAACAGATTTAATGTATATTTAAAATATATCTTTATTTAATCGTATTCGAATCCAAACTAGACATAGAAACATAGTAAATCAAGAACAATATTCATGCACGTTGCAACAAGTTGTTGTGGCTTATAGCTTACTCTGTAGCGCATAAGTATGTTTTGATTAGTGTTGCGGGTTGTGGCAACGTTGGTTGCGATGACAACTAAAAAATGATGGAATGCAGGAGTTGCAGAAAAGCGATAAATAAAAATCTTTTGTAAAAATATCTGAACGTAGAATATTATTATATTAAATCCAAACAACATAAATGATACAATTAATATTTGCCTGTCTTGCTCCCAATAACTGGTGACCCGGATTGAAGAAATAAAAATGCCTGATGACGAGAAAGTTGTAAAAGATTCTACAAATGAACTATGCAAAGTAAGTGTAAAAATTCCGCCGTTTTGGATTGATCGTCCTGAAATTTGGTTTTTCCAAGTGGAAGCCCAGTTTAAAATAAGTGGAATTCTTTCTGAGGAAACCAAATTTAACTACTTAGTGTCGCAGTTAGAACCGAAATATGTTGAAAATATTTGGGATATTGTAACAAGCAATTCTGATACGAAATATTCAGAATCCAAAACAAGGCGTCTAGATTTATTTAAAGAAAGTGAAAGTACTCGAATAAAAAAACTTATAACTGGAATTGAGTTGGGTAACCTAAAACCAAGCCAATTGCAACATCGGATGTGTCCGAAAATTTAATCAAAACGTTATGGTTAGAAAAACTGTCAGATTCTATGCGTAATATAATACTTGTTAGTGACGAAGAATTACCCAAATTGGCTATCATGGCTGACAAGATTTCAGATATGACACCTTCTAATGAGATTTTTGGCATATCAGCAGCTGATAATTGCTTGAATAAAGAACTATTAATAAAAATCCAATCCCTTGAACAGCGAATTACTGAAATGACTATTTATCATATATCGAGACCACGTTTAAGGAACGATTCTCAGTGCCGCAGACGATCTCAAAGTACTTCTAAAGGAAAATTTAATCCTAGAG